TTGTATAGAAAGACATTGTGTTACAAACAAGATTGGAGCACACAACGCTACATGATTTTGCGCATCAAACCATGGTCTCCGAAGATTTGCCGTTCGAAGGCGTACAGCTGGGTAGGGTCTGACCAACCTGCAGGCGTTGTGGGTTTTCATGTTGTGAATGGCAAGCTCAACAAAGAAGTTCTTTCCCTGAGTCTGACTGTAGTCTGATGTGGTTGGGCCACGATTTCGAAAGCCGTTCCAATCCTGGCCACGAAAGTTCTGTGCCAATTTTTAGGAAACATGTTGTATGTTTCGCAGGATGTTCAACTTCGGTCTCCATCTGAGAAACGTTGGAGCCTGGCACTGCTGCTCAGTTGTGCTGTTTTGTAATCTTTAAGGGTCGCGCAAAGAGTATTATTGTGTGCTGCCCGCAGGCGTTTTGTGACACAGGTCTGGCTGCCACCGGTGCGGCCCAGTAACCTTTTCAGTTTCATAGCCTCTGCAGCTATGCAAGCAGGCGTTGAGCCTTGTGTTGTGGCAAAGCCCCCGTTCAACAGATTGGCAGAATATGTGCTGACACCTTGGCCTCGAGAGATTGTCAAGAAAGAGGGCAACATCCTGGCTGAGCTCCAGTTGTTGAAAGAGAAATTGGAAAAAGAACAAGAAGCGGACCCCTTGGTGATCCCGCTCAAGCTGGAAAACGTCGATGATGCGGACACAGAACCTGAAGATCTTCACGCGCCCAAGATTGTGTCGGCAGCCGAAGCCAAATGGATGAGGGCCAAAAAAGCGAAGAATTTGAGAGAGAAAAAACGCAAAAGAAAGCGAGTGCAAGAGAAGAGAATTTCACGCAAGGAACAGCCAGGCACGATTTCTCAAAGCGCTGGCCGCTAACTGTTTACAAGTATACAGCTGTAGCGAAACACTGTGTGATGTGCATGCGCCGCTTGTGAAAAAGGTGCCGGTCTGAAAAAACACAAGACGAACGGGTCCTCGTTGGCTTCCAATCAGGAGGTGTGCCATGCCAAGAGTGGCTGCCAGTATTTCAATGTCTGGTGTGCCATTCATGGCTGGCTGCCTTCCAATTGGATTGCCAGAGAGGCAAATCAAAGTGGAAAGTCACCAACAACGTATGTGTGCGCACCAGTTTGATGTCTAGTCTGGTCTAATGAGTGCCGAGGCTGGGCCTTTCCAGACCGAAAGTGCTGAGGGTGAGCGTGGGAGTTCCAGACCAATTGTTGAAACCAAACAATCCGACGTGTAGGTTTCGTCAGTCTACTCGAAGTACTTTCACACCACCCAGTTTGAAAAATGTTTGCCACTGACTGTAAAACACGCAGGTTCCGATGTCATTGGCGACCGTTGCGTGGCCGATCTTTGGTAGATTTGGTTTCACTGCCGCCTCTCAAAACGTGACCTTGGACCTTGCGACAAGAAAAGAGCACAGTTTCTCCAATGGGTTGGGGTTACATGAAGAGGCAAACGTTTCAACTTTTGCATGCTAACTCAGCTTTCTGTTTTTGGACGGACAAACGGAGTTTGATATAAATATCACACCCCTACACATGCTGCGCGCGCATCACAGTGCACGTGGTTTATAAGGAACCGCGGTGAGACCACGTTCGCTGAGAACATGACGTGCGGGAAGATATTACACTTCAAGGAGAGAAGTGGGGAGACCAGCCAGCAATGGCAAGTCATAGGCACCCGCCCACAATTTCCCAACCCCCGAGTCAAAACCAAACCCCGGTTCTCACGAAAAATCCTTGGATGCGGATGTGGTCGACGTGGGCAGGCAAGCTCGGGTCCATGTGATCTAGAATCAACAATGCGACTCCCTCGGCTGAAATGGGAGATGTCAGGCTCAAAAAGTGGACAACTTCATGGATGTTACACAAAGCGACCCCCTGTGCATGAGCCTCTACTTTATGCAGTGGGATGGTTGGCAACTTCTGACCATCCTGTTGGACGAACAGTGCATCAGGCAACTTGATCTGGTCTGCATTCGGGATCACCGGTGGTTTGGAACCCTTCCCTGGTGGCCTTTTGTTGGCCTTGGAGCCCATTGGCTTGTCGGTGGCGAGCCTCGCTTTGATTGCCTGGTCGAGCTCTGAGGCCATGACAATTCGGATGGGCGGTGTGGCCTGAGTCGCTGCCGTTTTCAGGTCTTTCCATGGTTGTGACCCTCCCAAAATCTTGGCTATGGTGTCTGTCCCTAGCTGTTGCATGAGGTGGCCTGCACAGGTAGCTAATCGATCTTGGCTAACTCCATGTTGTCTGAGGAGGGATTGCAAGATCAACTGATCGGGCTGCAGTGTACCTCCCATCCGAATGGCCTGTGTCAGGCCTTGTCCATCCTGCAGGATTTGTTGCGCAAAAGGAACTCTCCATTGGTCTGCTTGAGCCGGCTGGACAGGACATGGACTGACGTTACCTATTGCTCTAGCGAACAGCCAATTGACCGTTTGGAACCCACAATCGGCAGGGAAGGCTGACGGCAACAGGACTGCTTGAAACGTGATGTCATTGTGGCCACAAGCTTCTACGATCAACTGTGCAAAATGGCTGCAGAGATGTCTTGCGTGGTGGTCATGACTGTGGCATTGGACGAAACTTGCAGTGCGATCGGACTCCAATGGCTGAGGTACAAGACTGGAACCATGTACAACTCAACAGTGGGGTCACTGTCATGTGCACGCAGGCTTTGGAGGATCCAGGTAGCCAAGGCTTGGCCTGAGTCTTCTTTGTCATCGATGATTAGCGGTGCTGACACCTGGTGTCCCTGGTTGCGAATCATAGCTAAGCTTCCCTCCCATCGGCAAACTATGATGTCAAAAGGATCAACCGGCATCAAAGGGCTACCTACACTTGGCGATGCAGTGCCATCTGTGTGGGGGCAATCAATCACCGGCCCTGCGGTCTCATGTTGAACTGGCGGATAATCAGCAGGCTCTGCTGGCAGGACTGGCTCACCTGTGCAACCCCCTAGATCGGGGCGAGATTTGGGGGGTTGCCTGGCCGATGTTCTGCACTCCTGAGGGTTCGAGTATGGCCCCCCCTTCCCTTTGCCTCTCGGATTGGCACTGTCCAAGTAGCTAGAATCGCCTTGGTCTGGATGATCTCCCACCTGTGGCTGTGTCAGGGCATGGCGATCGGCGAACGTGCGATTGGCAAAGAAGTCCAATCCTCCATTGGCGGCAATTCCGGTGTCATGCACTTGCTGTTGGTCGAACATGTACGAACTCGAGGCTTTCCGTTTCTGGGATTCTCGAGCGAACGTGGGCGATACGCGCTCATCGAACCGGACAGGGACAACGGCTTCATATGTAATGCCGAAGTATGCCATGACTGCTTTCTGAAACAGGGCAGACTCTTTGGAATGGGCATGCGATCACGGGAGGCAAAGGTCTCAATGGCTAGATGCATCAACCCCTGTTCGGCCAATTTCTGATCGATCGCCGTGCCCAGTGTGTTATGGAGGGCTTGGATCACCTGGGCTACATGCCACAATGCCTGTGCTGGTGAGGCCATCTGCCCCAAAGCTGTGAGGTCCAGTCGGAGGTCTCGGGGCAGGTCACTCTGGATGTGGTCAATGGGGACCATGTGTAAAATGGCTACCTCATCGGGGTGGATGTGTCTCATATTGGGCGTTTCGCTTCCCCGGATGATGGTACTTCCAGAGGTGGGAACGAGTGCTCCAAACAAGCCCTTTTCTTCTAGACGATGGTGAGTGAATCCACCTGCCCGACATCCACACGCACATGCCGTCAACTGAGATCCCCAAGCATGTAGCGCTGTCTGCAACGGCTTCGTGGGGCAAACTGAGTTCTTGCCCAACCCTCCCGGTTGTTCTGCAAATGCTTCCAGCTCATGGGGTGAAAGGCTGAGTTCAACCATTTGATTCTGTGGCCATCGTGCCATGGTCGGGATCAGATGTCGAAAGGCCGGTAGGAAGGGCAGCTTTGGGAAACTCTTGATCGGTGGCATACGGACAAGTGGATGTACAACTACTGCCCACCATCGTGACCTCTTTGCCGGCCAAAAGTCCTGCAAATGGCAAATCTGTTGCTGCAAAGAATACCCCATGCTCTTGCAGAATGCATTCAGAGTGGTCTGCGCCCAAGGCGATGACATGGCCTCCTTAGTGCATTCGAGCACCATTGCAACCGGCTGGAACAAGTAGCCGACCTGGATCATCCCCTCGAAACTGCGTGCTCTCGGGTCCAACTGTTGGCGTTGGTCGCCTAACTTCGAGAAAGGCTGGCAAGCAAAACCACCAGTGACAATGCAGGGGGTGGTCATGTATGGCAGCAAGGCCTTATGCACTGTCGGGCTATCGATGTCACCTTCAATCACCTGTAGATGCTTTCTGCGAAGCCAGTCTGCATAGCGGGTGTTTATCTCAACATGACATCGAACTTTGCACCCAATCCCACTGTAGCCTGCCGACATGATGGAGTAACCTGCACAGACATCGATGACCTCTGTGGCCGTGGTGCTATCAATCAGCTGATGGATCATGAGCGATCCTCCCGTGGCATCAACAATCGTCGCTGTGGATTCCTTCGTCGCCAATGCTGAAATGATTGTGAATCTTTCTCCAGCCAGCTTGGCTCCACGGAGCAGAAAGGGCTGTCCTCGCAGCAGTGTTGTGCAATGATATGCATTGCGTTCTTTATCGTAAAACCAAGCTTTGCCTCCTAGGGATATCTCGGATCCCTCCAGCACATGGTCTAGACATGGCTCAGGATGGTACCCGCCCTCCCAAGCCATTGGCCTGCACCGCTGAACCCGCTGGTAGGTGCTTGGGCCGACAGCTTGCGATGGCCTCCAACCTACTAGCGACGGCCTCCAACCTACTAGCGACGGCCTCCAACCTACTAGTGATGGCCTCCAACCTATCCAACCTACTAGCGACGGCCTCCAACCTAGAAGCGATGGCCTCCAACCTACTAGCGAGTGCCTGCAAAAGTTTTTTTGCGGCTGAAACATTACTCGTTGGGCCTTTGAAGCTGCCTCAGGTGCCATTCTTGGTGAAGGGCTCTGGGGATGCTCAGGTGCCGATTCAACCATGTGGAATCATGTTGATGTGAATATTCATGTTCCAGATACGGTAGATCTCCTCCAGTCCATTTATATACTGTAGTTGGTTAGGAACCTACCTGGTAGATCTGTGAAAAAATGCCCCAATCAGCAGCTTTCTTGCCTGATTTACACATGCTGACCAGAAGTGTACTACCCCGCATGTTCCTTGCTAGGAAACCATGGAAACCCATAGACATAAGGCCTTATTGACCGCTGAAAATCACTTTCCAGCTCATTAGCAAGTGAATCCCAGCTACCACTAAATCAGGCTTATAATCGCAAGAACGCCCTTCCCTTCGGGAGAACATGGGAGAACCATCTCTATCACCTAGCTGCAGAACATTTGCGAGATCGAAAATGCCACATGTAGTTGTAGTTGGCAAATTGCTTTCTTAGTAGATCGGTGATCGGTGAATCTACAGAGCAGTCCGCTTTCTCCAAAGAATTTATGCGACTGTTCGTATATAAATGTTGCCTATCAAGTGTGCCGCAGGGTTTGACAAGCGATGGGATGTGTCTTCAATTTGCCCAAGGAAATGATGCACACCTTGATTTCATTTAATTTCTGTACGTGGAATTGATGTTGTAGACTTCATCACCAGAGGTTTATTTGCAGAGGGAGGGTATTGCTGCACACACCAGCTATCCTTATTACTGTTGCCAGACTATTCAACAACAGCAATGTTGACTTTTGGGGTTTTGTGCATCGTTGTCAATCAGCATCATCATCATCATCATCTTCTTTCTTTCATACGCTCTTCTGTTGAAGATCGCGTGGGCCCAGGTGGGGCCTAAACCTCAGCAAAAGCTTTGGTCCAGCAGCCGAGCTAATGTCGAGGCTCTGGCTGCTTCTTTTTGATGGGGCCTCAACATCAAATTCAGACCAGTGCCATAAAAAGGTTGGCATGCGCACCACCTTGTTGGGTGGGCTCGTGAGATGAAGCTCACTGCACACTTCTCAGCCAAAGGACCTGCCTCATCCCACCAGGTTCGATGTGCCACCTGCAGGTGTCCATTAATGTCCCGTGGCCAGCTGATGGCAGAGACTGGGGTTGTCAACCAGGATCTGAGGATCCAAGAGGTCAAGGCTTTGAAGCCAAGCTCCGTGCCAGTTGTCGTTGATGGCAGGCTGCTCTGTCAGGATGGGAGATTCCTCGGCCATCAGTGACACCTCTTCTGCACCACCATGAGGAGTGCAGTTGAGCCAAAGAAGACAACTGTTCTCCTGAGCCACCAATGGAAGAGCCGAGAATTTGACCGGTCATTGGAGTCGTCGAAGACCCACCACCAGTCCTTGTCCTTGATGGCTGTGCAATAGTGCCCACTGGTAGCATCAGCACCAAGATGGTAGGAGACTCCAGTGACCATGAAGGGAATGTAGTCAACCTCGAGCTTTTCACCCAGGAAAAAAGGTAACCAGACCTTAGAGTCCCATGTCAGGCGAGTTTTGCTTCTCCTTCCCCTCGAATCAAAGCGGTCGATGTGCAGGCATGTAACATCTGAAGGATCAGTCAAGGCGTGTAACCCGAATGATGCAAGGCTCCAGGTGGAGACCAGCCCTTGCAAGTCGATGGGGAGCGTGCTCTTTTGTTCACTGCAGATGCAAAGATGCAAAGGGCATCCTTGGGCATTGTGGTCCACCACCTTCATGGTGCCTTCCTCCTCCAGCTTTCCCAACAACAGCTGAGAAAAAAGGGGTTGGTTTGTTGAAGAAGATGATGAGCAAAGTCAACCACGTCATGTTGTCGAAAAGGATTGGACCAGTTGGCTAGGAGTGAGGTCCACTGCCCATCAGACCATAAAAGCAACGATTGCCCTCTGGACACATCTGCCAATTCCCCAAGTACCCCCGGGAAGTTGGACCATTGATCCACCTTCAGCCCATCAGCTTGAAGTGCACTCCAGGCTAGTCGAGTGACAACCGAGTTCATGTAACAGGCGCTGCTGGGTTCTGAAGTGTCCGAAGAGGCGGAGTGGAGGGTTCCATCAAAGTTGATCCAGCATTTTGCCCAGGTGCTGGGCAAGTGGTGACCTGTGAATGCTGGCCGAGCGCATTCTGCCTAGCACGAGTTGCCAAAGCCCTGAATGACTCAATTGGTGCCACAATCCCCTCATCTCGTTGGCATGAGGATGAACCAGAGCCAATGTGATCCTCCAGGGATGATGGCTGTCGGTGTCTCCGTCTCCGTGGTCGTGACCTTCTGGATGTGCTGTTGTGGACGAAGTGCGCCAAACCGCTTGACCAGGGCTTCTTGTTGAAGCAAGGTGAGCATCCTTGTCACCGTCTGAGAGGCCTGGTTCAAGGTCAGAGGTGCCTCCTCCAGAGCCTCCATCGCTTGCTTGGTGGAGTTCCACTTCATCCGTGGAAACATGTACGAGTCCCCCTTCTCTGGCTCGAGCTGCAAAAAGTTCAGGCGTCAAGGGATCGGAGGAGGCCGTGGATTGAAGCTTCTGGATCCTCTTCAGCAACTTTTTTGAGAGGGTCTTCAGACCAGGATCCGGAGTGGATGGGTCCTCTCTGCCTGTGGTGTTTGCTGCCATGTTTGTGTCTGCGTCATCATGAGCGGAATCACTGACCCGGGACCCACGCTCAAAAAAACGAAAGAAGTCCGTCTCCATAGCCAGGCATTGGAGTGTGTCTTCGCGTCGAAGTACGAGACGGGTCATTGCCTGCAGGAGCATCTTTGAATCTTGTGTGGATTCGTCCTTGGTGTTCAGGATCTTCCCCTGGCCTCTTTTTCCTTTTCCTTTGCCCTGGCCCTTCCCGCCATTCGACATGGAAGACCTCGGGCGCTTTGCGCTCTGCTTGTCCTCGTCCACCTCCATCTTCACCCATTGGTTCAGAGCTCCCCACGTGTCCGAGACCTGGTTGTCCGCCGTGTCCATGGTGAAGAATTGCGAGCAGGCCGGACAATTGGAGGAGAACTGGACACTGCACTGCGGTGGGATGATTGCTGCAAATGGAACATGTATGCTGTCGCTTTTGTAGAAATGACAGAAACTTGTAAAAGAGGGCACCTCGATTTCCATGTTTGGAATGATTGTTCCAAATGCGTTGAAGCATGTCCCTTGGGTCCACTTGTCGTCCACATAATAAGCAGCACCAGGAGCTAAGAGCGGTGCAAAGTGGGCCATCCGTCAAGATCTCTTCAAAGGTGCCCGTCGTAAGCAGGCTGTCCAGATCCGGAAAGTTCAGGGCCAGCGTAGGGCTGAGCACTTGAAGGTCCAGCCGCGGTGCATGTGCCAGGATGAGCTCGTCGCTGGCGTTCTGAAGCTTGTAGAGATCATGATGAACAAACAATGCCAGCTGAGTGAAGACTGTGCAAACGTGAAGCGTCGAAGGTGGTTTGAGACAAGAGCAGGCCAAGTTCCGTAGAGCACTGTCAGTCTGAAGCCATTCAGCGTAGGAGGAAGCCATGGACCAGGATGTGGCGTCTGCCGAGCTCAGGTGTTTCAGCAAGGAGGACGAGCTGGATGACTGATGCCCGCACAGACCACAGATGTAGCCCAGCCTTCTGATGAGGGATTTGTAGGCCATCAAATGGTCGAAGGTGCCCCCATGAAGTCCTGAGAGCCCAGCAGAGGATGGTGCCATAGAAGAGGAGGAGCATCTGGAAGGGGTTCAGGACATGGTCCACCATCAATGTGACGCCGTAGTGCTGCAAGGCAAAGAAAGGAAGCATTGCAGTGTGCACACTGTGTAAGGCCAGGCACCTGATCCCTGGCCGCCATGAGTGTCCGGGTCAGGGTTGAGTGTGGATGTTCCATGGCCTGATGTTGATGAAGGCCAGCCGCCGTCAGAAATTTCCGTGGGCATTGAGCACAGGCAAATTGTGCATCCATCCGTTGAGGAGGTTGAAGAACTGGCGGAGGACAGGCCGGAAATTGTTCCCGGTGTTTCCGGTAGGCCAGAGCTAGCCCAAGTTGCTTCTTCACTGGGCAGGTGTGTGTCTTGGATCGGAATTCCTGTCCACAAAGTTCACATGGTGAGTTGGTCCGAGCGCGAACGACGTTAGGAAGAACATCACCCATCATGCCATAGACTTCTCCATGATCCCTTCCTATGTGCGCTGACATTTGCTGCAGTCTAGAAGACCAAAAGCCACAAAGGATGCACCGTTGGGTCAAAAAGTAGCAGAGGCTCCGGACGTTGGCAAGAGGTGCCATATCACCTTCATCAAAGTAGTCCAGCAGCCGTTGCCGGTGTTCTTGAAGTTGTTCCGGCGGTGCCTTGGTGGAGCCAAATTCAGAGCATGCATAGGAGCTGACATGATGCCGGAAGTTCTGCCAACTTATGAAGGATTCTCCACAATGACGACATGTAGGTTTGCCATCAACTGCATCTCTAGCTATGTCCAAGGCGGGGCCAGCGGCGTGAAGAACCCCATGAACAAAAATTTCATGACGTCTCAAGGTATAGAGAAACTGAAAGGTCTGCCCGCACTGTTGACAGTCCAGTCCAGCCTCTGCAAGTGGGAGCTTCGGTTGCAAGTCCAAATCGCCAAGGTCTTGAAGCCATGAATCAACAAGGTTGATGGATGTCCCCAGTGAGGTGGAGATCAAGTAGGTGAAGAACGTCATGATCCTCAAGATGTTGAATCCGGTCCTCATGCCTCTTCAATTGTGAAGCCATCCGCTCCCGAAGCAAAAGCGCCGGGCGCTGAAGGTAGTGGTCGGACAGAAAATGAATATGTTTGTTGTGGGTCATGAATGAGTGACCTCCAGCTGCTTGTCTTAACATAGTCGTCATGGTCTTGAAAAACATGGGAATGGAAGTGTGATCCACTCCGGTTGCATCCAGTCCATAAACTCCTATTGGAAAAATGCATGTCTGCCACAGAGCCACCTTCTGAGCCGAGTGCATGCCATTCTTTGTGAACCAACATTGCATCTGCTTGAAACGAGCTTTGCAAGCTTGAAGACGCGCTTTCATTGTGTCTCTTTGAAAGTTGTGGTATCCCAAATATTCGTGCTTCTCTGTGATTGGTATGGCGTGTGAGCCACCTTCTGCCTTTGGTATGAGCAAAACTGAACGGTCCAGCTGCTTTTGCACATATCGTTTCTTGGTGTGGCTCTGTTGTTTGCCGCCCCAGCGTAGGATGACAGCGGATTTCTTCATGTTCACCGTCATGCCCATTCTTTCGAGGACAGAGATGAGTTTTCCAAAGAAAACAAGACCTTGTTGAAGTTCCTCAAAGGTACTAAAAACAAAACATGCATGGCCATCATCCGCATAGAAGGTGCAGTGTTTCCGCGTCCAGTCTTCTGAGGTTTCTGTCGCTACCATTTGCAGAATTAAGGCAATGAAACTCGCCCAGAAAAAGGGAGCACCTCTGCAGCCTTGCCGAACTCCCCTGTAGGTTGCCTGTTGCACCGAAAGTCCTTTCCACTGAATGATATATGAAGTTTCGGTGTGCCACTGCATCAAAAGAGATGTGAGATCATATGGAAGTCCAAGGAGAGAGAATGCTGCTGCTATGTGTTCCCTTGGCATTGCGTCAAAGGCTCCTGTGAGACCCAGAAAAAGTTGACACCCTCCAAACACTTGGGGGCGCTTCCCCCCCTGCCTGTTCACTTGACTGGCGTCATATCTCCAACGACGATGAAGCTCTGAGACCTCCCGAGAATGAGATTGAACCTTGGTGATGGCTTCCCAGGTCCCCCTACCCTCCAGGTAGGCGAATTGCGGAAACCATGTCAACGCTGGAAGAGTGATTTTCCTGGCTTCATGAACAAAGAGAGACATGACGGTCTTGGAGAGTGGGGTCTGAAGGGCAATGGGTCGAAGAGCTTTTGGTTCCACTGGAGGTTTGTTTGGTTTGGGCAGCAGGACCACCCAGCCTTTCCGCCATTCATGTGCCATTGTGCCTTGATGCATCCATTGTTCCAGCCAGGGGAAGACCAGTGGCCCAATGGAGGAGGCCAGGGCCTTCCAAACAAAGCTGGGTGCCACGTGCTGTGGAACACTGGTTCGCCCATAAAGTGCTTGAAGTCCTTGAACCAGATCTGTAGCATCGAAGGGAAGTGCTGCAAGCTGGAATTGCTGTCCAGTGAGGTCCTTACCAGCATACAGGTCGGCCATGTAATCTTGAATCCAACCAAGCTCCTCCTCTGAAGCCATAAGGTGCCCTTCTGAGCGCCGAAGTTGAGGTCGAGGAGGCCTTGCTTTGGGTGTGAGCTTGTTGACCACCTTGAAGTACTTGTGAGATTCATTGTTTGCCCAGTGCCGTCTAGCCTCCTCAATAGTGTTTGAGAGCTTGGCTTGTTGGGCAGCCTTGGCTTTTTGATTGGTGGTCCTCTTCCACCGTTGAATTTTGGCGGCTTTTGCCCAGTGCCCAAAGAGCTGTTGAAGTCTGCTGGTATAGTGAGTCCTGGTAGCAACTGCCGGGAGGGAAAGGCCAGAACGCCCTTCCGCCCAGGTCCAGAAGGTAGGAGGACGGTCTTTTTGACCCCGGGAGTGTGGAGCAAAGTCCTTGCAGCCATCGAGGAGAACGTTGTTGAGGGCCTCAAGATCCGGGGATTGCGCCCAGAGCGTCCCAATGCTGTGCTCCAGGGAGGAGCATAGAGAACGCCAGTCCTCACTCTGAAGTTCCCAGTGTCGAAGAAGAAGATCTTGTTGTCCACGTGGGATGCCAGTTGGAGGTCTAGCCCAGGCTCTCCACTTGTACGGAACCGTGAAGAGGATGGGAACATGGTCTTTGGAGTGGCCAAACATCTGAGGGAGCTCATCCAGGTAGATGGGCTTCTTGGTGAGAGAGTCACTAGACTTATGCCTGACCAAGACGTAGTCAATCCTGGATTTGTTGGAGTGTCCTCCGGTGTAGGTGGGGCCCAGTGTGGCGTCCCAGGTGTTGGTGGCCGTGAGGCCATGCTGGACAAGTAGACCTCCAAGAAGGCTTGAATCCGGATGCCTTGGCCCTGATCGTCTGCCCTGTGTGTCCTGAAAGTCGTTGAGTCCAACACAGCGCGGAATCCGATTGAGGCTGGTGTTCAAGTCACCCCCAAGAATCATCACGTTCCGTTGAGGAAGGCCGGCCACCAGTTGGTTACAGGCTTGAAGAAGTTCTTGTCGGTGTTGAAGACAGGCAGGATCATTTTGGATCCAGGCATGCTGATAGGCACTGATGATGTCAATTCCCATGGAAGGCAGATAAAGTCGAACATGTAGAAGTCGTCCAGGAACAACTGCACGCCATGAGATCCTGTCGAGGTTGCAGAACCCTTTCCTGATGATGATCATGGTGCCACCAGTTTTCCCGTTGGAGCCACTGTGAATGTAGGCATAGTTATTATCTGACCAGTCACCACTGAAGCCCCAACGAGTGTCCTGCAGAAGCATGATGTCAAGGTGTTGAGAGAGCATCCATTGATGGAGGATGTCAAACGTGTAGTTGCTGAGAGAGCAAATGTTCCAGCAAAAACCTGAAAGACGATTTTTCCGAACCTTAGCTGGAGGGATGACGTTTGGTGTCAATGAGGAGCTCGTAGTGTCATGAGTCCTAAGCGGTGAGGTGGCCTCAATTCCCAGCATTGCGGCCGTGAAGATCTGCCCACGATACCATGTGTGACCATGAAGGTGAGCTCGTTTGAGTGCATGAATATATGATTTCCTTCTTTGCTGAGGGTTGTGATGTTCCAGATGTTCGGGAGTAGGTCCGAGGCCACTATAGGCTTCGCCATAGAAGGGTGTTGTTGGGCCAAGAAATGGTTGGCTCCCCCGAACCTTGTGGCAGGTTCGGAACCCTCAGGCCTCCAAGGCAAAGCATATGGATTGAGCTTGGTCATGAAGTGCTCGGTGAAGATCAAGAAGATGCCTCCAGCAAAAAGGAGAATGCTTGCCTTGGCCGGGGACTTGGGACCCCGGTGAGTGTCCAGGCTCCTCCAGTGACCTAGGGAGAATCTCCGTGGAGTCCAGAATCGAAATCCCGGGCAGGAGGAACAGATCAGGTAGGTCAAAAACAGGAAAAGGAGCCAGAAGGGCAGGGAAATCTCAAAGGTCTACCGTGAGAAAGGCCAGGAACTTGTAGTTCAAGGTCTGGACCAAACAGGGACCTTCAGGAAGGTGATCTTGAAATAGCCGAGCAAAGTTCCGGTACGGCGGGACCTCCAGGTCCAAGGTCGGCAGGTAATCCCTGTCCATGTGGCGGGTGATTTCCGCACTAGCTCAGGCCATTGGGCATGACCTGAGCCTGAACACTCATGGCCCTTATCATCATCATCATCATCATCATCATCATCATCATCGTCCTCGTCCTCGTCCTCGTCCTCGTCCTCCTCGTCCTCCTCGTCCTCCTCGTCGTCCTCGTCGTCCTTGTCGTCCTCGTCGTCCTCGTCGTCCTCGTCGTCCTCCTCGTCGTCGTCGTCGTGATACTCATATAAACATCATCATCGTTGTTGTCATAGCAACACATCCTTCTTGATTGACCTTCGGGAGATGTGCAGAATGTCATTGCCCCAGCAACGCAGGCTCCTGCTGGGTGTGTGGGCGCCTGCACCCCAAAGAAAGAATTGACATCGATCACAGCCATGACATTTGTTCCATGATTCCAACATGTATATAACGTAGATCAGCACCTGATCTAGATAGCTCACAACTTGGCAACACTTTTCAGTGCCAGTCACGCCCAACGGAAGCAAGGTCCCAATATAATCCCACGATGTCCCACGGATTCACCTTCAGCATCCATGATGAAAGCAAGGTTCCGCCACTTCTTCAGCAGTTTCAGTGTTCCACGCTTGCATCGCCGCCCTTTGCCTCCGCAACAGTTGGCTCAGAGCTGCAAGGCTTCTGAAGTCAGTCTGAGGAACCTTCGTACACTTCTATGCGTCTTTGCCGGTGAGCACTGAGCACAGTGTGTTGCTTGATCCTAATTGAACGCTGGCTGTGTATGTGTGAGGACCTGTGATAAGGAGGAATTAGGAATGAAGTGTTTGGTGCCCGTATGACAATGATGAAATCCAAGAATCCAAGAAGCTTTCAAATTCTGCAACAAGTTCTCTCAGCAGTCAGAGAAGCAGCCTTTGCACTGCAACACCAGGCTATACCATGCGCATCCTCTTCTTTCTGTATCAAGCTGAGAACGAGACACCTTCACTTCAACTGAAGAGGATTGACAAGTCTCAGCACAGACAGACGAGCTCGGAGCGTTGCTATCAAAAACTTTTTTGCAAACCAATATATAAATCATATGTAATCATAGTTCAAAAAAAGGTGTAGTGTACCATACCAATACAACATGAAAAGACAAAACAGAATTATACCGCCGGCATAGACACCAAACAGTTTCAGCAGAACTTGTTGGGTCAATTCCTTGTGTTCCAATGTTAGTGGAAACGTTTGTAGTTATAGTTGTACAACTATAGCATCCAGCTGTTGGGAAACGGCATCGCAAACAGGATGATATCAAATTTGAAGTACTGCATCACTGTTGCATTCATGGAGACAGGAAAAGCGGCGCGGCCAAACAGGGGACAAGGCCCGGACAAGGCCGTGAAAAGAGGGCCGACAATACAGAAAACAGGGACACAGACCCTGGGCAGGGCCCAGACAAGGCACGGACAAGGCCCGGACAAGGTGAAGAAGACAGGGCCCACATTGCGGCCAATCAGCACACGCAGACACAGACACGGCCTGGACAAGGCCCGAACAAGGCTGTGAAGAAAAGGCGGGCGGCACGGCCGCGGCTATCATGCCCCCTTTTTGTCCTAAGGGAGAACTACACAGAATGTTATACATACATTTCTTGTTGCTACTAGTAACAAGTGCATCGCTAGTAGTAACAGGTGCCTTACTAGTAGTAACAAGAAGCTATTAAATTTACATTGATAGCTTCATTCGTTCGCTCGGCCGTTCGTGCCCAGGCTTCCTCTTTCACTTCGTGCCAGTTCCGGCCTGAGCTTGTCACACGCGAAAGAAAACAACAGCACGAAAGAAAGACAACAGTAAGAACCGTCTAAAGGCAGGTCTAACAAAGGAAACATCAAATTAATTAAACGCAATTAAACGCCGAATTTACATGGAGCCCTTTCTTTCTGATCCCCGATGAGCTGATCACATGTCGGAGGCCATTCCGCATCGCACGCGTTGCTCAGTGCTGACTCAGACAGGCCTTCTCGTAAGTGGGCAGCTGCACAAGCGTCTACAAGCCGTTTTGCGTCGATTTTTTGCAAAGGACACACACTTGGACGGGGTAGTTGTTCGTTCCCCGACTGGCTTCAGGGTTTATCCCGATGTTGCATGCAGTTTCATAGAATCCTCCTCCATAAAATGACCTGTGAAAATCTTCGGAATCCGTCCATCACACCCTGAAGATGGCACAGGTATCGAGAGTACGTCGTGGACGAGCATGGCAAGGCCAACATCATGCGGCGAGAGGCTGCTCGGAGTTAAACATCATAGGCGCGATGGCCGGTGTAAGTCCAAGAATGATTCTACTGGTACAGTGTGGTCCGGCGGTTCCCTTCCTGTACTATGACTATAGTCATCTATGATATTCTATCATCCATGTCTCATATGCTTGACAAACCTCCGGCCACGTGAACTCACTCTTTGCTGGAGATTCGGAGATGAGATGCGGAAAAGCGTTCTCTTCAACAATGTTCCAGACATCGTTTCCATTTGCCACGAGCAGGATGAGGTAGAAGATGATTGAGCGCAGATTCCTCCCAATTACTTAGCAGTTGTATTGTGAAGTCAAGAACTGTTTTGTTTGATGTGATTGAAGAACCTGTCTTGATGAATGTTTCAGCCATCAACTTTAAGCCAGGACCCTTCGATTAAATAAACTCACTTTCCAGTTAATGAGTAAGTCACCTGTTCCAGTGTAGTCGATGGAACATGCAATTTTGGCACCTCAGCCTGAGGGCGCCCCACAGCGACGCTTGCGGAATGAGAGATTTAAGTCCTTATTGCAGAAGAAACGTCAGGACTGCCAGCAAATGTGGCAAGACATGGCAAGACCGTCACAAAAGCCTTGGGCTGTGGTGTGTTCGATTGGAGCTATTTGGAATTTTTTTGAAATTCTTCAAAAATCTTCAAGCAGGGAGGTTAGTTCAGCTGAACATGTCTCGGTGTTGGTTCGTCCAGTTGGTTGAGTCTCCGCAACAAACATGCCATTCCCCTTACAGTATTTTTGAATCTCCAAACAGTAAGTTATTTTCAGAAGAGCAACACTTTGAACAGTAGCTGTTTGAACTATTTGCACACGGCGATCCAGGGAGAGTTGTTTGATTGGTGTTTGTGCTTTTGTGTGTCGTTTGAACAATGCACTATCTTTCAAAATTGCGCACTTGTGCCAGCACTTTTGCCCGCTAAGTAGTCCAAAGTGGCTCCGGAAGTTATGCGAATTCAACGGCGTTGTTCTTGTTTGTTTTTTACCACACCCAGGTTCTTTTCAGAGTTCTTTTTTCCCTGTCGGGTGAGGGTCTAGGTTTTATGCCGTTCTCTTCCTCTCACGGGTCTCGACTTCACGCGCCCAAGTTGCCCTATTGCGCTGGGCTTCTCACCCCCTCAAGTTCGCGTGTCGCGCTGGACTTCACGGGCCCGTACTCGTAAGGCTCTGTGTTGTGCTGGACTTCAGGAGCCTCCCAAGGTCAGAACAAATGTCAGAAGACATGCAAGACTTGATGTCAGAACAATTCAGAACACATACCAGAACAATCAGAATACATGCCAGGCCAGAACATAGGTCAAATTGCACCGTCAAAACCGCATGTCAGACCACATTCATGTCGGACGCATGTCCGGAGAAATGTCAAACTTAGTGCCAGAACAAGTGTTAGATCATTTGTCTGGAGAACTTGTCATATGTTCCTCTGCTTTCTTGATCATGTCTTGGGGCGGGGATCACTCGAAGTACTGTTTATTTCTTGATTGCATGTCAGAGCTTACATGATGTGGAGCAGGGAACAGCGGCATTTTGCTGCTTTGGTTTCCACATGTTCCAGATAAACGAGCAATTGACGAGGGCAGGACTACTTGTATTGGATGCTTCGACATGGTTCCTCATTTACCACTGCCACATGACTTCAGTCTTCGGGGTTTGAGTGGTTTGGTTTCTGGCCCTCCCAGGAGCGAGCTCTTCGGCGACAGAAGCTGTGGAACCTCGAGCAGGAGATGAACCAGGTACACATGACAAGCAGCACTTATCAGCCGAAGTGCCTCGGCAGTTTGCGCAACGAATCCTTGTTGTTTGGCGATGGTATGAGCTGCTTGGAGTTGTATTTTACTAAAAAACAATTCAGTCAATGCCATTGGTCGAACCGCGCCTGAAACTGGATGTTTAACGTTGTTTTGCATTGCGCAGGGAAGGAAGGTCAGGAAAATGAACTGCGACAAATCTACTGTTCGCGAGACCCCCCTGGCTGACCCAGTGCCTGGATTGACCTGCGATGGGTGTGCCACTACGCACAGTGGCGCACCAGCGATTGAAGCGGCCGAGAGGGCGTTTTGCCACATCAATTCACCTTCTTCGTTGAACGCAGTTGCAGGATTTGCACATCCTGGCCTTACTACTAGGAGCAAGGACGCTACTAGGGGCTCCTGGCATCGCTACTAGGAGCAATGTTCGCTACTAGATGCTACTAGTAACAAGAAGCTATTCTCAGATTTCGTTCCCGGCTAAGGTGCACAATGCTTCCAGACTTCCGGCTGAAGGGTGAAGGGGGCGTCGCCCAGGCTAAAGACACCATCGAAAGCTGCATGGCTGCCTGTCGCCCAAGAACCAATTTGGCACATGGGAAAAGCCTCTTGGAGCATATTCTTGCAAACTGGAAAGGGGCGGTTGATCATATGGAGTGATAGAATATACCGACGAATTAGTAGACGGTAATTACGCATGCCAAGATCACTAGGACACTAAGAATCCACAGTTGCAAAAGCACGCCAAGAAGATTTGGTCGGTCATGGAGTCATGGAGAGAAGACATGGTTACTTACGCACGTCAGGACGTGCAATGCCATAAAGATATTCAGATGTCTTCAGGCTGGACCCTGGCTTCTCTTGCTTGCATTGGCTTCCAAGGTGCCACAGCCTTGAACAGCTACTCTGGCACACAACCTGCTTCCGCAGTGGATGGCAAGGCAGAAACGGTTTGGGTAAGCATGCCAAGCACAAATCCGTTCTGGCAGGCAGGGCGTTCCCTCACTCCTGTTTCAGCTTACACTGGCGTCTACATTTCTGAACACTTTTGCAATGTGTTTGTTTCTGATGAGTATGCTATCAGATAGCTGCTATCAGAAGCATGGAAGAACGGAATGCGTATGATTGTGTATCTATATTGCATGTTATATAAATATCAGGCGGGTTTGCACTTAAGACAGTGTCATAGATAGAACACAGTGGAATTTTGAATTCAGAACTGTGCTATTTTTCGGAGGGTTTGTTGCGTGTTCTTATGTAGTCACCCTTTCTTGTGAGCAAGATGCTTGTATTCGCGCCGTTTTCCGAATACATGTGTAATGTACCAGTGGTGGCTTCAGACTTCTTG